TGCTTGTCTGTGCTCCCAATGACTCTATACTCCAATACACACTTGACCTAGTGGTTAAAGTTTTAACCTCTGCTGGATTCCAATTGCAGGAAAACAAAGTTCAAAGAATGCCACCTTGGAGATACCTGGGCCTGGACATTTCTGCAAGGACTATTGTCCCACAGAAATTGGAGATCAATTGCAACCCCAGAACATAAGCAGACCTCCACTCGCTTTGTGGGTCTTTAAATTGGGTAAGGCCCTGGCTAGGCCTCACAAATGAAGATCTGGAACCTCTCTTCAATTTATTGAAAGGGGAGATGGAGCTGGCCTCCCCCAGGGAACTGACTCCAGAGGCAAAGACAGCAATCGAAAAGGTACAGAAGGCCTTGTCAGAAAGGCAGGCACATCGGTGTGACCCAAATCTGCCTTTCCAATTCATTGGTCTAGGAAAGATGCCACACCTGCACGGGTTGATTTTCCAATGGATCAAGGGGCAGAAGGACCCCCTCTTAATCATAGAATGGGTTTTCCTATCGCTCCAAAGATCCAAAACCATCACTAGGCCACAAGAGCTGATAGCAAAGCTGATTCAGAAGGCCAGAGTGAGGTTGTGCGAATTAGCAGGGTATGACTGTGCATGTATTCACCTTCCAGTCAGGCTTTCTGAAGAGGGAAGGAACTCTCCTGAGAGACTGACCAAAGGGATGTTTGAGCATTTGCTCCAGAGCAGTGCCAGTCTCCAGCTATCTCTGGACAGCTATAGGGGACAAATATCAGTCCATGCCCCATCTCACAAGTTGTTCAATGAAGAATTCCACCTTATTCCTCCAGAGAAAAGGAGCCGGAGGGCACTCAGGGCTCTCACAGTGTTCACTGATGCCTCTGGGGCTTCCCACAAGTCGGTGATGACTTGGAGAAATCCATAGACTCAGCTTTGGGAAGCTGATGTTGAGCTTCTGGAGGGATCCCCCCCAGGTGGCTGAACTGGCTGCAGTGGTGAGAGCTTTTGAGAAGTTTTCCGAGCCAATCAACTTGGTGACGGACTCTGCCTATGTGGCAGGTATAGTGTCCAGGGCGGAGCAGGCTGTGCTCAAAGAAATAGAAAATGAACATCTCTTCAGGTTACTCTCAAGGCTAATTTATTTAATCTCGCACCGAGAACATCCATTCTTTGTGATGCATGTGAGGTCACACACTGATTTGCCAGGTGAGATTGCAGAGGGGAACCAAAAAGCAGACTCCTTTTCTGCACCATTTGAAAAGGCAAGTCTCCCTGATGTTTTCCAACAGGCAAAGCTGAGTCACGAGCATTACCACCAGAATGTACCAGGTTTGATTCGACAGTTTCAGCTAACACGGAGTCAGGCCCGAGCCATTGTGACCAACTGTCCTAATTGTCAGCTCCAGGCCGTGCCATCGCTAGGCATGGGGGTAAACCCCAGAGGCCTTAGCAGCTGTCAGGTATGGCAGACAGACATCACACACATTCAGAGTTTTGGTCGCCTTGAATGCGTTCATGTGAGCGTGGACACATTCTCAGGTGCAGTGTATGCATCTGTCCACATAGGACAAAAGGCTGCACATGTCAAACAACACCTAGTGCAAGCATTTTCAGTATTGGGGGTGCCAAAACCGATCAAAACAGATAATGGCCCAGCGTATATATCCAAGGAGTTTCTGGAATTTCTCCAACAGTGGGGAGTGGAACATAAAACTGGCATTGCCCACTCCCCCACAGGTCAAGCTGTAGTCGAGCGTGCACGCCAGACGCTCAAGCAGGTATTGAAAAAACAAAACAGCTCAGCTCCGTGGATGTCTCCACGAGAAAAGCTCTGTAAAGCTATGTTTACTATCAATTTTCTAAATTGTTCATTTGAAAATATGAATCCACCGGTTGCGTGCCACTTTAACAGTGGCAAGCAGTTCAAATTGTCACAGCATCCCCCGGTCTTGATTAGGGATCCAGAAACTTGGGAAACCAAGGGTCCCTATGAACTTGTAACCTGGGGTCGTGGCTATGCGTGTGTAGCTACTCCCTCAGGCCCTCGGTGGATTCCCCAGAAGTGGGTGAAACCTTTTGTCCCCAAGAATCCAGGTCGAACAGAAGGGGACAAGAAGCAAGTATCTGATGCTTCAAAGAGAAGACACCGCCGGATGGGAGAAGAAGAAAGTTCCTAGGCATGAATTCCTTCTGGCAGAAACAGAAACTTTAACATGTTCTTAAAATGTTTGTTTTTCCCTTTTAGAGAAAACCTACCTTCCACTCAACCCTGTGATGAACCCCATGCGAGTTGTCATCCTGCAAATGCTGAAGAGAATGTTCAAGGGATGGGGATTCACGGGGTGGTGGACATCTGTTGTTAGATCAATTTTGTTTGTTTTTGTTATTCTGTTCTTTGTAACCCTAGCGTTCGGGATCCTGCGTCACTTGATTTTCAAAGCTATCAAGGGCCTCATACGTTCTACCTCAGAGGTCAACCACATAGAGTTGGCTAACCTGAGGAGGCCTGACTACGCCACCAACATGGGGTGGTGGGAAACCCATATTCAGGGTTGAATTGAGCCCAGTGAATTCCTGTAACCTTGTTTAACAAATAAGGGGGAGGTGTTACGGTGAGCTCCTGGACACCCTTTTGTCCCCCCTTTCCTAGGGCCTCTGTGGCTCTGATCAAGATAAGCCCTGGATCCTCCTCCCTGCCCTAATGGGGTTGGCGGGGAGCCAGGAGAGCCCACTCTGTCCAAAACCTATATAGACCCCTGAAACTTCCTGCTCTTTCTCTTTTGCCCCGCTCTCCATGGACACCACAGAATAAAGAGGGCTGTTCCAACTTCCCTGGGGTAAGAGCCTCTGTTGAATACTTTTCCCTCTCCTGGATTTCCTCCCCTCACAGCCCCATATCTCTGAGCTGGTCGGATTCTATTCGGGGGGCTGCGTGGAGGGGGGGAAAACTATAGAAATTACAGCCTTCCAACACAAAACATTGTACTGCTCCGGCCCCCGAGCAGCACAGAGCTGGCAGAGTCCCCCCCTTTCCACCGTCTGCCTCAATTACATGGACAGACAGCCGGGGCACGGACACAACATGGCACCTTTGGTCTGTGTGCACAAACATGCATCAGCCAGGTTGTCATGTCCCGGGGCAGTGCTTTGATGTCAAGGCTATTCAAATAGGTGAAAGCAGGAAGAAACTCCAGGGTTTGAATGTTCTGAAATAAAATTCTTTATTTGCCAAAAAAAGGACCAAGAGCAGAAAGCAGCATGGCAGCCTGTCTCTTGCATGCAGGAGTCATAGTGACTGTGAGGTGATGAAGATGGAAATGAGATCTATAAGATCTACTTGAAGCAGGCTGTGCAGTGGGTGCTCACCTTCAATGTGCACCCCTCAGGGTACCTATTTATTTAGAGCACTATGAAGACTACATAGGAAGGGAAAAAAAACCACAAACTGCAGCAGGAAGTGTGTTGGGGTTTTAATCAGATTATTCAAGTTGAGCACAGACTTTCTGTTCAGCAGATGCACAGGCAGGGGCTTCTTGGGCCACTGCTTTGGCACCTATAATTTTGAGTAGGAGATTGCAGGAAAAAAAAGAGAAGCCCATCAACTACTGAAGAGAAACACCCACTGAGAGGAACCAATGGGTGAAGACATGTCAGGGGAAAAAAGGCAGAAAACAGTAGATCAAGACAAGTTGTCTTGATTTAGGGTAAATTTGGAAGAGAACTTCTGAAGGGTTTTTTTAGAAAGCAGATTTAATTAGTGGTAGTTGTTAAAGGTTTTAGGACAGATTTTGGCTCCCAGCTGTAGAGTACGTTTTTCACATTTGGTCTTGTATTGATTGGGTTCAGGGCTATTGACTGTTTAGCTGCTGACTTAGGTTCACTGTTTGGTTTAGCTATAACCTGAGTAGCTGGGCTGTTGACTGCAGCTTGAGTTACTGGGGTAGCTGCTGATTTATCTCCCTGCCCCCTGCTTCTGTCTACTGTTCTACAGTATTTAGCAGTCTGCAATAAGCAAAGGCTAGGGCCTAGCTTATTGCAAAGATCTTTTTCTCCTTAGAGTCATCATGGTAGCTCTTTCCAGATATTTCCCCACCTCATCTGGGTTCTGAATTTGTTCACATGAAAATTCCTAGGCTGGGGGATCAGAAAAATCTTTCAGTGTTTGACTCATTCTCTCTTATTTTCTACACAACTCAGAATTCTCCCCGCTTGGGTCTACTTCTGGGTTAGGCGACTCACCAGCTCCTCTGGACATCTTAGCCCTCAGTCTAGAGAAGCTGTAGACTATATAGAGGAAATTTACTAGATTAGATATGAGGAAAATGGTCTCTTTAACATTCACGGGAAACTGAACATTTTCAAAAAGGGACGTAACAGATCCAAAGGAGAAGAAGGAAAGGAAAGCCTGGAAAGCTTCATCCCTTGTTTTTCGTCTAATAAACTGGGTTTATTTTCTAATAAACCCCCAAAACATGCTACTGGAACTGGGACATAGGGTAGGATGGAGAAACTATAAACCATATATATCTAGAACAGACTTCAGTACTTTTGTAAACTCCCTATAAATTATTATTACTGAGCCTAGCACAATAGCTATTCAAACCCATAGCTATTCAAACCCATGCCCCTCTACTGTAAAAGCTATGGATTAGAACAATAGTGGAGCTGTTTTTAGATAAGAAAATAATCCTAGTGACTAGAAAGCTATTACAAGTTCAAAAAAGCCTTAGGACTAGAAACACATGAAGGCCCCCACCCCGAGAGACATTACCACTTCAAGTAACATCATTACTGACTGCTTTGTGCCACTACAGAGTAAGCACAACCAAAATGCAATCATTACAGGTTTTTCTTCTTTCTTGGGCCTCACATTGGGTGCCAAAAATGGTTGGTTTAGAGTGAACTTGGGAGAGAACTTTTGCCGTGGTTTTTTTAGAAGGCAGATTTAATGGGCCCACCCCCCAACCGGTATGGGAAAAAATACTTATTTGGAGAGAAGTGACAATAAGAGAAGGAGTTAACAAGAATGCAACTTCTTTATTGCTGAAGTTCAATACTAAATTCTGTAATCTTAGACTAACTAATCCTATGTTTTTAACAAATAATCATCTACTCAATCCTAACTTGAAGAATCCTAAAAGCTTAATCTTCTTTTAAAATAAAACAGCCCGAGTTCATAGATGTTTCCTTGCTGAAGCAGACGACTGGTGCCAGGACTCCACTTGCTGCTTGCCAAATTCAGATACTCATTGCTGAATGTGTGACACCTTTTTGTGGAGGTACTGGCATCTGCTCTTCATCTCAGAGTAGCTGGGGCTACCCTAGGAAGGAGAAATCAAAAGAAAATTAGGGCATGTCAACATTTATGCAGAGTTTAGAATGTCATGACCTTTTCTTTAAAATAGCCTTGTGGCAGACTCAGAGGCTACCAAGCCAGGCCAGTCTGGTTTTTTTCATGTAAAAAAATAAAATTACTCTCAGTTTGACTTTGGAGGTATTTTTCTCTGTGAGCCACCATCCTTCTGGGAAATTTGCAAACTGAGCCTGTTGTATTACAGACCTAAGAACAAACTCTAGACAAGTCTGAAAACACAACAACAACAACCCAAAGCACAGCAGCTCCTAAAGAGGGTGAAACTCATTAACGTTTAAAGCCACTGAAGGGAGTCAAGCCTTCTTCAATCCCTTCTCCCTCAAATCAACAGGTGTGAGGTTTATCAAGCTCATGATACAAATCCAAGATGAAGTGGCAATGAGAATAATAGATGCCACATCCCAACACTGTCACACCATAGCTTCTGCTGCTCTGGGCCTGAAGATCTGGTTCTCTTTGCAATGACAAAAACTCATTCCACATGGGAATAAACACTTCAAACCATCCTGAGATAAATATTTACAAGGAATAAATCTTTAACAAGTTAAAATTCAGTGCAAGGACAGACAACAACATATGCCAGGGATGCATCCCAGGCCAGATGCACCTGACTGGTGTGCAGGATAAGTTTGAAAATAAAACTACAGATGCCTTTCAACATTTTGAGAGGTTCCCGAGAAGCAGTAGCTTCAACTACTGGCATCTGCCCAGTGACATTTGCTAGCAAGAGCCCGAGCACAGACCTCACTGCACTGCTCCCCTGCAGGGCCAGGCTTGCCCTCAGCCTTCCACAGAGCATCCCTGGCTGTACCCAGTGGGGCCCAGGGCCCTGCCTGCTCCAAAGGCCACAGCTGCCCCAGAGCCCCAGAGCTGCAGGAGGCCTGACTGCCCTTGCCAACATCACTGCTCTGAGACAAGCTGGGAGCAATTTCCAGTGTTTTATACCACACACACTCACACACATTTCTCCCTCCCCTCCTGCACTGCAAATACGATGAGGGGATGCAGCAGCACTGCTGCAGCCGAACCTGTGCAACTGCACTGCAGGAAGGGAGGGCCCATCCAGGCCTAACCCACCTCGGTGTTCATCTCAGCACTTCTCCCCACCTGGCCCATCTCCTCCTTTAGCTTTCTACCTCCTTAGCTGACATTTACTATTAAAGAATGTCTGTACTATTGACTCTGGAACATGGTCTTTCTTGCACCTTAATTCATGCAGAGGTATCTCTTAATCATCAAATCTTTACTCCATCGTTATCTACACTGGAGTTAGGAAAAGCTGCACATTGGTACCTTCATGGAGATCCAAGGGACACTACTGCTTCAGCCTCCCAAATTCTCTTCACATCTTTTTTGACATGGTAGTCTTCAACACATGAGTGCTGTCATGGTAGAACTCAGAAATTTGTGTCTTTCTTGAACCTAAAGGGTGCAGGGGAAATGGAGCTGACATCTAGAGACACGTAGGAAGTAGAACGGGATGTCAAAGCCAGCACCCAGGAAGAAGAGTGGCCACCAGGTGCTGGCTGGAGGGAACTGAGCTACTGCTCAATCCTCCGCTTCTTGCTCATCGCAGGACTGGTCAAGCCAGAAGCCCGAGGCCGTTTCTACAACAATAACAAAACAGTTCATTAATCTCTGACCCAGATCAGGTTTTGCTCCCATTGCAAAAAAAGCAGGGTTTGTGAACTGGCAAAGGTTGAAAACACATGTTTTTTAAATAAAAATAGCTGTCAAACATGGAGGACCTCCAGGTAAATATCTGCTCCATTGCATTCCTAGTTTCTCATCTTAGGACTTAGCCAGTCCTTCTCCAAATCTACTGCTAAAAGGCTTTGGGAAGTAGACACTCCCTTCAGCAGCTCCAGCAAAGCCTCCCCAAAGGGGAGGCTCAGTAAGTTTTATCTGGGTCCCAATTTCTGCTTGCACACACCAGGAAAAGACTCAGCTTTTGCTGTCAAACATCCACATGATTTACTGAAGAGGCACCTGGATGTTTTAGAGTTTTATGGGTTAAAAACGAGATTAGTGCTTCACTCTTAGAATCCAGGAGTACAGGGTGTGATGGTTGGTTGTGAATTCTCATCAGGATGAACAAAGACAGCAGCCACATGTCAGGAAACTTGTGCTTTTAGGAGCAGCTGTCTTAAATCCAGCAGGCTACCTGCTGTGCAGACTCAAAAGCTGCTGGCTAACAAGCCCTTGAATTTGTACAAGAGAGTGTCACAAGTGGTTACCAACAAGCCCTCACTGTTGTTCAGTGCCCTTCAATCATCTCTCAGCTCCTCCCAAGGACCTTCTCACAGCTGCTGACTCACAAGCCACAACACAGAGACACAAGCTCCCCACAGCCACAGCAACTTCCAAACTGAGGATGGAGTAGAACAGGACAGCCGTGTGTGCCCAGGCAGAGTGAGAGAGGAGAGAAATAGAGGCAGAGCAGGGACTGAGGAAATATCACCATTCTGTAGCTCCTGTGTTGGTGCAGCCACGTGGATAGTGCAGAGCTGGAGTCAGCAATGAGAGTGACAGAGAGACAGAGGGACAAGAGGGCGAGAGGGCCCCATCTGCCCCACCCTGGTGCAGCCTCTTATGTACAGGAGATTTTTCCTGCAGAGCCAGCCCTTTGAGGCCTCCTCCAGGGAATGAGTTGAGGGTGGGGACTGAGCTCAAGTCTTCATGCAGAGCAGAAATTTGGCTCAGGACAGTGCTGCTCCACCCCTGCAGGATCCTCTCTTCTCATCACAGCCTTCCTGTCACAGCACTTGGAATGTCTGAGGCAAAACATGCTTAGGCCTGGTCCTGCACATTCACATCACACCTTTTATACCACCAGCAAGTCTGCTGAAACTTTAATACAGTGTACAGAATGTTAAAAATGCACAAAATACCCAAGCAGGTCTTGCTTGAGCATCTCTCTCAGAAGGCCCTGGAGATGTTGCTTGGCTGCTGCTGGTGGGGTTATGAGATGGAGCTGCTTTTCTGTAAGGATGGTCCAATATTTCAAGTTACAAGGCCTAAATATCAACTGTCATAGTCCTTTCCTTGCAGACCTTCAGTGCCAGGACTCGAGGAAAGAGCATGAAGCTGAGTTGAGGGAGCTTTAGGCAGGATATCAGGAAAACATTTGTGCCCCAGAGGGTGCTTGAGCACTCCAACAGGCTCCCCAGGCCAGTGGTCACTGCAGCAAGGCTTCAGGAAGTGTTTAGACAGCACTCTTGGGCACCTGGTGTGATTCTTGTGGTGTCCTGTGCAGGGCCAGGATCCTGGCAGGTCCCTGCTGCCTCAGCATATTCTAAGAACCTAAGCTTCATTTCCCAGGGTTTTCTTCTGAAAAGGCTCTTTTCCTTCCCCAAAACACTGAACTTACCTAGAAAGTATTAACTTCAAATTCGCTCTCTCGGTTTTGCTGTAGCCAGGCCAATCAGTCTGAAGGGTTGGAAACAGATGTTCCTTCAGACTGTAGGAATTATCCTTTGCATTCAGGTCAGCAACCTACAGACAGACATTTTGGAAAACAAATGTTCATTACACCTATATGCAAACTACAGAAACCTAAATGGGCTACTTGAGTTGGGATGGCAAAACATGGCTCTCATTATATTGTGAATGTCTTCAGGGTGAAAAATCCCTGCCACTGCCCTGGGCAAACACAGCAACAAACCTCACAGGTTCAGGGAATCAGTTCCTTAAAGTCATTGTAGGATCAACTGAAAGTGTATCCATGTTGAATTTGAGTCCTTTGACTAGGTTCAAAAATGCTTTTTCCTAGCTAAAGAGGAAATAGTCCTATTGGATATATTAATGCTGGCATTATTCAGCAAAAGCCTCTGTGGATGGGGAATATTTAAAAAGGAAGGAAGGATCTACTCCATCTTTCAATGGGTGTGCATTTTATGAAAGCCTATGAGAAAGACATCCCAGTGGAACTTAACTCGAAGGAATATTGGAAAAGTCTCTAATTTAAACAGGTGTGGAAGTAGTAAAATTATGAACGGCAGAATAGCATGATGGAAGAAGTGCTGGCACAAGCTCCACGATCTCACCTCCTGAAGGATTTTTCCAAGGGAATCCTTGTCCTTTTGCCTTACTCCATCTCTCTGCAGCTGAGCAAGTAACTCTGGCTCCTTGTAATCCCTCAGAGCAAGTAAATGAATCACCCTGTCCCTGTAGGGTCGTCCATAAACAGCAGCGCAACCGCTCCAGTCAATGTCTGCAAGTCTCAAAGACACCATCCTCTTCTTCTCAGGCACAGGACCTGAATTGCTTTGCTGGGCTTCTCTGACCTCTGCTTTTTCTCCTAAAGAGAGGGAAAACCAGAAACAAATAGTTCCAATTGGAGGTTTGGAGAAGGCAAGGAAGCTGATTCAAAAGGATGTACCAAGACTTTTGAGCCTCTATTTGTCCATCATTTACAGATCTCCAAGCATCCAAAGAGTAAAGCATTAAAAAGAAACAGTCATTAAAAGCTGGTAAAGGAGTGATACTGGATGGGAAGTTTTTAGGAAAAAATATTTTTATGCATTTTACTTTTATATGATTTCCCCAGTTTGTAAGCTCAAGCATTCAGCTATCTCTAGAATGACACTAAGTGCACCCTCAGCAAGTGCATCCTCTAGAATGGATTAGGTGCACCCTCAGCAAGTTTGCCAAAACCAGAGGCATGGGATGTGTGGAATTGTGTTATTATATGTTTTACCACATTTGTATTATGTATAAGTTCGTTCCATGTACCCCCTGCGCTCTGTAACGACCCCCCGGGTTTTCCCATCTCTCCCCGCAGGTTGTTTTCCCCGAGAAGTGCAAAGTCACTGTGTTTACACCCCAGACGCCTGTCAGTCACTCGGCATCCCGTCCCGGGACGCTGAGGAATAGGCAGACAACCTGGGACCCTCCACCTGGTCGCCCTCCATTGGATGTACCCCTGCACCCCACTGCCCTCAGACCCCCCGTGGCGTTACCCCATTGGCTGCCCCAGTGTCCCCCTGTTCTGTACTTAATCCACGGGCGGGGGACGCCCGGGGCTTTTCTCTCGGCTGGCCCCTGCGTGCTGCTGCCGCCGCCCCACCGCCGCTGCCGCTTTTCTCTCAGCCGGCACCCGCACGTGTTGCTGCCGCCGCTCCGCCACCGCTCCACCGCCGCCCCACCGCGGCTTCCTCTCCTGGCTCTCAGCCAGCTCCAGAGCGCGCCGCCCCGCCTCGCTCGGCAGAGCGGCACAGGCAAACCTCAGCGCGGCAAACCTCAGCCCCTTCGGGTTTTGCTTTCCCAGCTGGGTTGCAATAAACCGGAATTCTGCCCCTGGGAGAAAAGTCTCTCTCCTTTTATTCGCCGTGGGACTTGCCGCTTTCTCTCAGACCTACGCAGCCCTGGCCGACGCCCGTGGGGGCTCGGCGAGGTGAACGGAAACTGCCCACGCTCCATTTTTCCTCTCGGAGCTAGCTGGGACAAAGGGGAGGAAAGAGAGCATACCGCAGTTGTGGTGCCCACCGCGCGGCTTGGGAGCTTCAAGCACACGGACTGAGGACCACCGAGCCCCGAGAGGCTGGTGGATGTAACCTCGTGGATGTTACAACACCTTCAGCAAGCCGCGGCTCCACTTTAGTGAGCCCTTCGCTTCCAGGAGGATTGGACCGGTAGCTTTGGCTTGCACTGACGGAGTTTGGTCCACTCACGGCGAAAACTTCGCAGCCAGACTTTTCGTTTCCCCTTCAGACTTCGCTGGACCCGTGGTAAGTTACCAGGGTCCCCCAGGGCTGGGCACGCCTTGCTCCTTTTGGGGTGGGTTTCTCTTTCTTCCACAAGGGGGCAATAAGATCCCACATTTTGTTCTCCGGCTGCAGGGAGTGTGTAGGGGCAGGCTACCCGGCGTTCCGAAAGAGGTCTTTTCTTTTCTGTTGTTATTTTACCAGCGGCGAAGTTCGCGACACGCTTTAAAATCGGCAGAATGGGTGCAAAACTGTCAGTGTCGCAGAAGAGAATTTATGTTCAAATCCTAGGAATTTTAGTTGGGGGAGAAAAAAGATGTAAGAAGTCAGACGTGAAGCGTTTTGCCCGGTGGCTTCTGCAGTCCTTCCAGGACATATCGCAGGCAAATTTATACCAAATTCAATTCTGGGACCGAGTTGAAAGGGAAATCGTTCAAAAAGAGGACCCGTCCCTCTCAATTTTCATCCATCTGGCAATCCAAATGAGAAATATTGTCAAAAATAACAGTGAAGGGAAGCCAGAGCCACCCCAGGGCGAACGCTGCCCCCCAGACCCCCTATCCTGTTGCCTTTATAAAGGACAACCAGAGACCTGGTTCAGGGAACAGCACGGCAGCCTGGTCCCTCCAGGCTGCTCGGGCTAGTCAACACACGCATACACCAATGTGGCAGACGGTTGAAAAGCGTTTATTATCCTATCTCGTGGGTTTAAATAGTTTTTAGGG